ATGTCATGTAATTCTGTCTTTTTATAGAGGCATGTTTTTTCTTTTTTTTTTTTTATTTGTTTGTTTGCTTGTTTGTTTGTTTTGTTTATACATGCACTGGGTACAGTCAGAAGCGCGGGAGGGTGAGAGAATTCACCAGAGCCAGAGCGGGGAGCAGAGCAGGCAGAAGGACCGAAGTACACTGCCGAGGGGAGCAGCGGGCGGCAGGAGAGGTCCGCGCGCCATGTGGGACCCTCCTCCGGTGGCCGGGGAGCAGCCGGGGATCGAACCGGCGCCGCAGAGGCCGCGGGCAGCTTCGCAACCCAGCGCTCCACCGCTGCGCCACCGGGGAGGCCCCATGTAATTCTGTCTTTTTCAGTTCATTACGTTCGATAAATACTTGGTGAATGAATTACTTTAAACTTCAGGGAGTTAAAAGTTAAAAACAGTTAAAAATAAAAATAGCTAAAAATAATATTTTTAAAAAAGTTGAAAATAGAAGAGGAAAAATAAGTATTCAGTGGAGAAAACATGGCAATGGCCCATTATCTCCAGAGAAAACCTGTCGTTGGTGTTTTCTAGCTCTGAGGAACTGCTTTCTGGAATCAGGGACCAATGTGGATAGCAATGGTCAACATTCCTAATAGAGATTAAAAGCAGAAAGGGGGCCTCCCTGGTGGTGCAAGGGGTTAAGCTCCGCACTATGAAGCAATCCACAGCCTCTGCAGAATGAGTTTGATCCCCGGCTGGCCAGGGAGCTACCCACATGGCGCCGCAGACCTCTCCTGCCTTGCCCGCTGCTCCCCTCAGCAGTGGATGTCAATCTACCTGCTCTGTTCCCCACTTTGTCTATGGTGAATCCTCTCACCCCCCACACCTCTGGCCTGTACCCCAGCTCTTATATGCATAAATAAATAAATCTTTAAAAAAAAAAACCAGAAAGGACATAGGGTGGAGGACATAAATACTAGAAATAATGGGGCCATCTCGCGACCACTTATTTTGCTTAACAATTGCAAATGTTTAAAAAAGAATAATTTTTATCCCTGCGGTATGGATTTACTTTAGAAATAGTGAACTTATTACAAAAGGTAAAAAGTATTCCTTTTTAAATATCTGTAATGTTAAGCAGTGTGACCCAGCTGAGGATAAGCACCCACCCAGCTACTGGAGGGGACTGGTGAAGATGCCCAGGTCGGGATGACCACTGAGGTCCATGCCAACACCAGCATTTTTGAGGTGACAATTTTACCCCTAAATGGTACTCCCCAGAGTGACGCAACCCATCCATCTCTGATGGGTTTTTTTAGGTTATCTAGAAATTAAAAGGATGTCTCCTTTTGCAGAGAAGCACCTAAAAATCTACTTGCCTGCATTCAGTGGTATAGTGCTCACACTTCTTTATGTCCACTCCCTTACGTTACTCATCATTTGACCAACATGAGGATGTGTAAGCAATTGTCTGCCTAAAACCAGTGTGTGGTCACAAGCACATGTTTCTCTGAAAGCTTACATAAATCTATTGCACATGAGGAAAACTGGCTGGCGAATATAAAATCCGGGGTAGTCTTGTAGATAACGTGACTAAACGTTATATACGTCCTTTTAAAAATCTGTCCTTTCTCTCCACCCCATTTTTTCCAGTTCTTTGTTTTATCTGACTTCCTGCTAATTTGTTTCTTATTTTATATTTGGGTATAGCCCCTTCTTTTCTTTTATAGATGATTCACACAGTTGAATTAATATGTACAAAGGGAAGTTTTAGCACTAATTTTAAAAGTATTTTTACAAGAAAAACAAGTTGACCCATCAATTCAAAGTTTATGGAACAGCTAGTCGCCCAGGTCTTGACATATCTGACTTCTCCTAAGAGCTAGCCTGGGCCACAACCATCCTTGCACTAAGAATTTGAACTAAGTCAGACGAATAGATATAACCAGTGCTTGTCTCTTGTGGGTTTTCTAGTCTAGAAGGGGTTGGAGATCAAAGCAACCAATTTCAAGCAAAATCAGATAATTTCAGTTTCCTTTCCAATTCAGAGACAGCTTTCCTTTATTGTTTTGGGAAGGAGAGGGGTTCTCCAATGAACATGCAGGCTTACCTTCTTATATTAAAGCCCATTTTTTTCCTTTTATTTTGTATCAGTGGTAAGATTCAGATTTAAAAAAAAAATCAAATTCTAGGCCTAAGAAACTCAATGTATTTATTTTTCAGACTGCATGGCTCTGTGGGTCTTTTTAAATGCCTTCAATAATCCTGACACATCAAAGAAGAAAAAGAGGGGGTAACTTCATAGTAGGTTTCTCAGACTTAAAGGAATTTGAAAAGCAGAGAACCTAGGAAGTATAAAAAAGATATTTTCTTCCAGCAGCTGTCAAACACTATAATTATCTGTTCTGTGCTTTATCTGGTGTGACATAGAAGGAGAGCTTAAGAAAAATGTGACAAATGGCACAATTTTTATTACTTACCAGGGAGCCAATGCTGATAGAGGAAAAGCTCAGAGTTTGGCTAATTATTTCAGAAAATTTGGTAATTTAGCCATCAGGCCCATCTGCCCTGACCGGGAAAAGCAGGCAACTATATGGAACCAACCAACCAGTAGGGCACTCCGTGTCTCAGGGATTCTCTTTGAGAATAAACTCTGATGTGCCATCATGGCCAAAGCCTCCTTCCTCCGTCTGACTGCATGTGGAGAAGGCCAGCGTTATCTTTAAAACTCTATCTTACCAGGGGCCACCCTGGTGGCCTTGGGGTTGAGTCTCAGCGGAATAACCGCTGTGGCCAGGGTGCTGACCCACACATGGCGCAGCACACCTCTCCTGTCTGGCCCACTGCTCCCCTTGGCAATATATTTCAGAAGATACACCTGTTTAGCTCCCCACTCTGTTTCTGGTGAATCCTCTTATCCCTGGGAAACTCTGGCCTACACCCCAGCTCTTATATGCAAAAATAAAGTAAATAAAAATAAAACTTTATCTTACCAACCTGACACACAGCTACTAAAATGTTAAACACTTGCTGTTTGACTCACTACTTCTACCTAAAAAAATTTACCCTACAGATGGACTCAAACGAGTTTGCATCAATACATGGAGGAGGAAGCTCACTGTGGCGCTGTTACCATAGAAACAACTAGACTCAACCTAGTCTTCAAGTTCTGTTTCAATAAGCTGTATTGAAACAGATATGCATACATATAATGAACTAACATTTAGTTGTTAAAAATAAAGACACAGAGCTGTCATCATAAAAATAGTAAAATATAGGACAAATATTCTGATCTGATTTGTACAGAAAATAAAAGAATAGACAGATGTGCCTGTAGAGGCATTGAGATTTCAAAAAGAATATATTTAAGCAAGTATAGACAGAGGTTAGTCTTTGCGGTTTTACAGGGAGGAGAGGAAACTTTTATCAGCTTTACTTTTGCTCTGGATTTTGAGCGTGGACAGGCAGAAAACAGCACAGTGATTAAGAGCCCAGTTGCCTAAGACCCTGTTCTTTTACCTGCCAAGTAACCTCAGACAGGCTAATGTCTCCGTGTCTGAGTTTCATCATCCACAAAATGGGGATTTATTCAGGAAATCTGTTGATGTGTGATGTGTGAAATCTACTATGTGATAGTCACTAGAAACAGAGAAAAGAATGTAAGAATACTAACCCTCTGAGAGTTTACCCTCTAAGCAGAAAAGATGAACAATTAAACATACATATGTGAAACATATGCCAGGTGGTAGAGTGTTTTGGAGAAAAATAAAGCAGGAAAGAGGAGAAGCTGTGGGTGGAGTAGGGGTGGGGTATTGATGGTACCTGCATCACAGAGTTATTGTAAAAACCAGATGAGTTAATGCATACAGCTTACTTAGAACATAAATGGGAAATATTATTACAAAGATGATGCACATGTATTATTTTTATAATGTAAAAGTAAATGTTAATTTTTAAATGAATCCCTGCCACCAGGACTTTGATCAAAATCTCAGCTTTTTTTTTTTTTTAAAGATTTATTTATTTATGCATATAAGAACTGGAGTACAGGCCAGAGATATGGGGGTAAGAGGATTCATTAGAGACAGAGTGGCAAACAGAACAGGCAGATGGACTGAAAACACACTGCTGAGGGGAGCAGCAGGTGAGTCAGAAGAGATCTGCCACATCATGTGGGTCAGATCCCTGGCTGGGGATTGAACTCATGCTGCAGTGGCTGCGGATAGCTTCATAGGTTGCCGTCTTAACTCCTTGCGCCATCAGGGAGGCCCCCAAATCTCAGCTCTTTTAACAGTTTTTGAAGCTCCAAAGTAGGAATATATTTTTCATTTTACAAGTGTTAAATGTCACCCAGCCACTCTGGCCTTCTCCATCCTCAAGCACTAGATCCTTTCCTAACTACAAGCTGCCCCCTCGTCTTCAGCAGCAAACTCCTCCACATCCTCCTGTTTGTCACTTCAATGTACTCCTCGGTGAGGCCTGTTCTAACCTTCCCCATCTAGATAAGTCTCCTTGTCTTCTCTCATAATATCCTTCACTTTTCTTTCATAGCACTTAACCAAATTTAAAAGTCAGTTGGAGTGATTATTTTTATATCAGCTGTGCTCTTGAAGTGAAAAAATCTCTCCAAGAACCACTTGGGTGGGGGAATGTGAGAAAGAGGATGAAAAGGCTGGGAATTTTCACTCTGGGCTGGGTGGAGAGGCAGGCAGCTGAGAAGGGATTTAGAACAAGATTGATGAATAGAGCCTCCCCGGTGGCTCAAGGGGTTAAGCATTAGCATTATGAAGCTATCTGCAGCTACTGCAGCAAAAGTTCGAACTCTGGCCAGGGATCTAACCCACATGGCGCAGCAGACCTCTCCTGTCTCGCCCACTGCTCCCCTCAGCAGTGTATTTCAGTCAGTCTGCCTGTTCTGCTCTCCACTCTGTCTCTGATGAATCCTCTCAGCCCCTGCACCTCTGGCCTATACCCCAGCTCTTGTATGCATAAACAAATAAATCTTTAAAAAAATGAATGATGAATAGGGGGCTTGCTTTGGTAGCACAAACACACAAACACTCTAGAGCGATGTAGAGAAGATCATCATGGCACCTGGGTAAGGTGGACATGCAAATTCATGAAGCGTTCCGCCTATTTTTGTTTTAAAAAAGGAATGATGTAGAGGATTTTTTATACTCTTTGCTGTAGAATGAGCAATGCTCTATCTCTTGGTTGCAGTAACACACTGAAGTCATGGGGAGCTTCAGGTGGGATACCTCCTGAAATACACCAGGATGCCTTACTACCCACCAAGCCAAGAATATGTGTACTGCCTACAAATGTGTCAAAGTCTAGAAGGACTGATAGACTTGCCAAGGTTGTGAGGTGAGGTGGAGGCGTGCAAAGTTAATGGGAAGCAAAATTGCTGTAATTTCTCCAATAGAGATTCTGGATAAAATAATGAAGCAATAAAGAATGTATGTGCCCTTTAATTGAGGAATGCCCATTTCTAGGGACATAATCTAAGGAGTTAATCAAATGACAGCTGAACAAGTGTTTACAAACATGTATGAATAGGTGTTCATTTCAGTCTTGTTTATACTAATAGAAATGAGACACTATCTGAATTGGTTGGTAAATAAATTATATTACATGCTACAAAACTATGGAATCTTCAAAAAGAGGACCTATATTTATTAACATTTTTTTTGGTATAAAAAAATAGGTTCTGAAACAGCATTGTGATAGGATTCCATTTATGGAGAATTATATATTGACTTCTATACATATAAGTATAGAAATTCTACAAGGATAGAAAGAAATGTACATCTGGAAAAATGTTTGCCGTGTTTTTAACAAGATAAAATTCTGGGTAAGTTTTGTGTCTTTTGGGATTCTTTATTTCTTGATTTTTAGAATGCAATGTATCATTGTTACAAAAATAATGCTAATTAAGCACTGTATTCAGAAGACAGTACAGCACTCTGGTATTCAATCCCATTTCAAAATCAATATTTTGCTTTGAGTATGCTATATCTGTACTGTACTATAGTTTTCTTGTTGTATTTCTTGAGCAGCATTCTATACCAACACACACTGCAGTTAAAAATTCTCAGATGTCATCTTCCAGCAAGATGCTGAAGTATATAAAAGTCCACTGGTACACTGTAAATTAGTTATCCTGAGATAATATCTCATCATGTCCTTGACTTATCTTAGCACTGAACCTTATTTAACACCATAAGAAGACTGGAGTGGTTATTTGTACATAGCAACCCTGATTTTCAAGGTGACAAACTGAAAAGATGACCACAGATTTTTACCCCTATATGAATATAACTTTGCAATAATATATATAATTCCACTAAAAATCTACTAACATTATTGACAATTATTGAGTACTGACTATGCACTAGTCTTCCATCTTCTTTTTATTTACCTTCATTTCCCAATATTTCTGCAATTGGAATGTGTCACTTTTTTTTTTTTAAAGATCTATTTATTTATTTATACAAGCACTGGGTACAGTCAGAAGCACAGGAGGGTGAGAGAGCTCACCAGAGTCAGAGCGGGGAACAGAACAGGCAGACTGATGAAGTACACTGCTGAGGGAGCAGCGGGCGCAGCAGGAGAGGTCTGTCATGCCATGTGGGACCCTTGCCTGGCGGCTGGGGATAGAACCAGAGCTGCAGAGGCTGCGAGGGCAGCTTCACAGCCCAGCGCTCAGCTGCTGTACCACCAGGGGAGGCCCTGAAATGTATCACTTCTGCAATGTTTAAAGTCAGATGTTTGCAGGCTGGTTCAGTTTTAATATACCATTACCTGACACAGGGGAATGGGCAAAATTACTTCTTAAAGGTCAAGAATCTACTATAATTTATTCCTCCCTGATAGTAAACAAAAACAGTAAATTTTGCTGCCCTAAAAATACTTCATGATACAGGGACACTTACTGTTTTTCTCATCATCATATGTGGCAGGCTGTTTAAACATCAAACTTTGCAGATTCCCAAGCAGAGAAGTCATTTTCAACTTACACTTACCCTAAAATAGTTCCTAAAAGCCCAGGGGTCTTTAATGCTTTCTAGAGAAACCTATTTTCCTGTAAATTCAAATTTTCAACACTTGTGTAGGGTAAATGATTCTCAGGCTTTTCTGCCCTCTGCCATTAGGAGTGCCCTGCCTGATGGGGTACCTGCATTTGTTACATTGTTATAAGTTATGTTGTTTACTTCTGTGGGCCACAGCAGCAGTATTTTTTTTTTTTTAAAGATTTATTTATTTATTTATACAAGCACTGGGTACAGTCAGAAGTGTGGGAGGGTGAGAGAATTCACCAGAGCCAGAGCGGGGAGCAGAGCAGGTGGAAGGACCGAAGTACACTGCTGAGGGGAGCAGCGGGCGGCAGGAGAGGTCTGCGCGCCATGTGGGACCCTCCTCTGGTGACGGGGAGCAGCCGGGGATCAAACCGGCACTGCAGCTTCGCAACCCAGCACTCAACCGCTGCGCCACCGGGGAGGCCCAACACAGCAGCAGTATTAAGATATTTGCCAAGAGAAGCAGAGGCAAGAAAGAGGGACAGGAGAGAGAAGGGAAAAAGAAGGCCAGAGAACCCATAGTGAAGACTTGCAGGGGCCTTGGAGGTCTTTTGGCCTCCTTGCACTCCTGCCTGCCTTGTACCTGGTTGCTGCACTACATGTAAAAGCTCAATAAAAGTCTGAGAAAGACATCAAAGGCTCCAGGACTCTGTTTTCCCCTTCTGCTCGGATCATAGAAATCTGCTCTGGCCCATCCTGTCCCTACAATGTGTTAGAAACAAATACAGGAAGAACTAAAAGAGCATAGAAGCTTTGAGTGACAGGGAAGCAGCATGCAAGGTCTCAGGACTCTTTCCCACCTAGAACAGGGGTAGCCTCAGGGGAAGCATTTATTGTGTTCCTTATAGCTGTTCTTTCTGCATCTTGGCTGGTTGCTTCTACTACATAATCCTGATTAAAATCCTTGATTCAGGGGCCTCCCCCGTGTCGCAGCGGTTGAGCGCTGGGTTGCGAAGCTGCCCGCAGCCTCTGCAGCGCCGGTTCGATCCCCGGCTGCTCCCCGGCCACCACAGGAGGGTCCCACATGGCGCGCAGACCTCCCCTGCCGCCTGCTGCTCCCCTCAGCAGTGTACTTCGGTCCTTCTGCCTGCTCTGCTCCCCGCTCTGGCTCTGGTGAATTCTCTCACCCTCCCACGCTTCTGACTGTACCCAGTGCACGAATAAACAAAACAAACAAACAAATAAATAAAGCATGCCTCTATAAAAAAAAAATAAAATAAAATAAAATCCTTGATTCAAGGCCTCCCTGGTGGTGCAAGGGGTTAAGTGTTAGCACTGTGAGGCAATCCGCAGCCATTGCAGCACGAGTTCCATCCCAGCCAGGGAGCGACCCACATGGCATAGCAGACCTCTCCTGACTTGCCTGCTGCTTCCCCTCATCAGTGTATTTCAGTACATCTGCCTGTTCTGTCCCCCATTCTGTCTCTCGTGAATCCTGTCACCCCCACTCCTGTACCTCTGGCCTGCACCCCAGTTCTTATATGCGTAAATAAATATTTTAAAAATAAAATAAAATCCTTGATGCACCCTCTTCATCACCCCACACCTTCAATAAGTTGCCAAATCCTCTAACTTCTACCCTCACATTTTTCCTATTTATGCCTTTCCATTCAACCCACCGCCACCACCCCAGCGCCATTCCTTGGTTAACAGCCTCCTTGACCTCAGTAAAATCTTCTCCACTGGTTACCTGGCCCCCAGCTCTCTGTTCTCACCTTTTGGTCTGCCTGCTTCCACCATGTTACTTTGTATTCATGCTAATCCACTCCACTTGGCTTTTCTGCCAGAGTCCTCAGGGATTCTCCATCTAGCTACTAACCCTCCGGCCTTGATTTCCATTGTATTCTACACCTGCTTCACATTCCAGCAACTTGCAATCCCCAGGATCTTTTGCATCTTCCATTTGTGGATCTTTCCTCAGGCACCTCCCTCTATGGAGAGAGCAAACTTTCTCCCTCTCTGCCCACTGAAATTCTACTGGTTATTCCAGAAGCAGGTTAAGTGCCAGCTGTTCAAATACATTTCTTCGTTTCCTATCAATAGCTATATTGCTACTCCGGCATTGCTTTCCACACGTTAACCTCATGTGATCATTTATATGCCACTGTATACCAATATTTTTGCCTACCAATACTTCCTAGCACCTAAGAACCACCAAGGATATATACTGAGCACTTTCTATGTGTTATCTAATCCCCACCAGAGCCTGTGAGATAGGCATTAGCATCCACATTTTACAGATCAGGAATCTGATGCTGTCACAAGTCCATTAACTTTCAAGTGACAAGTCCATTAACTTTCAGAGTGACATCCTTACTAAGTGGCAGAGTCCTCGCTTATTCAACACATTTTATTCTACTCCACGTCTGTCAGATTCCTAAACCCTATGGACTTTTCAGTACAGACTGGCAAGTCCCTCTGAGAGCAATTAACACTGGAGCCTTAAGACAAGGCAGATTAGTTAAAGGCAGTTGTGTTTCTCTCTCATCTGATTTTAATGCATGGTGCTATTGAAATGCACCTTCTGCTCTCAGTCATCATTTAGCCTGGGTTCCAGTGACTCATGAAGACAAATACTATACAGGATGTTTAGTTCCACTGGTGACACTGATTATTGTAAAACTGTGAAAGGAACACTCAGCTCCAGCACATGGGTAGCCATCTAGAATTCCCAGACCTCAGTTTAGGCCTCATGGCTAAACCTCGCTGTTTCCTGATTAGATCCAGAGGGCTGCCTCAGCTTTCAGAAACAAGGTTGGGACATCACTGTGCTCATTAGGTTGGCCTTGGCCTGATAAGAGCCCCCCCCCCATTCATACCTCACAAGAAATTTACAGGAAGATAAGAATAAAGAAGGGGTTTAGTCTACCTTGAATTGGCTCTCCACCATTTATGACTGGAAACTTCCAAACTTGTTGGGTCAGTTCCTATTGCCAAATGAAGAATACTATAATAATTCTCTTCCTTATTGTTTTGGAGTTGCCAGTGTTCAGCAGTCATTGTTTGCTCACGAAGAGTGTAAATAGGACTTGGTGACTCTGATGGCCACTAAGCATACATATCTCCTAAGCCACTTTCACTCCTGTGTAGGGTGTGGATCTAAAGGTTAAAAAAAAAAAAAAAACTATGTGGAAAAGGACTAGGTGACTCTAATTTGTATTCTATTTGTATCTTCTCTTTCAATCCTCAAAGCAATCTTTTTCAAGCTAGGGGTTATTGGAATACCCATTCCACAGATCCCAAAACTGGAGGGTAACAGGCAAGGTATGTTGAGCCCCCCAGCTTTCCACTGCCTGAAGCTCATGCTCTGTGGCCAGATCTTTTGCTTAGGCAAATCCAGTCATTTTAAAAAGACAGAAGGCAAAAATCATACACAAGTCAGAATTCTCCAGTATCAATATCCTGTCCGCCCTCCAAACCAAGATTTTATGAAGTGTTTCATTTCTTAAAAGTTTCATATTTTCCATAGTTGATAAAGATCTCAACCACAGTGGTAGTTGAACTAGAAGATTCTTACCTAAACCCAGGGGCTTCCTAGAGAATTGTTACGCACATGGGCTTGCTTGGGAGGGTTATCTCAAGTTTGTTAGACCACAGGCCACCAGAGCCAGTGACCCAGTCACTGACAACATCACCCTATTCTCAGTCATCTTTGAAACAGGACATCAGGTGGCTGGGTAGAAATGCCTCAGTGGGACTGCTCAAAGTCAGTAAAAGTCCCACTGACAGTGGTGGTGGTGGTGGTGGTAGTGTCATTTGCATCCCATGAATGAATGAAGCCAAACATCTTTATTCTTCTCTCCCCACCCCACTTCAGCATGATCTGTTACACTGTATAGAGCCTAAAGGTTAGGACATTTTCATGATAATATATTTCCACACAGGGCAGGGAGGGACTTGTTATTTCTGACAACTTATCAAAACAAATATTTTGACCCCTCAAAACCTGAGCCAAGTATGACCTTTGGGATTACTTTTACAGGACTAGACTGTTGATGTGTCCTTCAGCCTTTCACATTTTATAGGGATAATAAAACAACTTGTATTTGCCTCCCCCAATGTAGTTTTCACAAATAATGGGTTGCTGCCTCTGCCATATGGTTTTAAAAAGTTACTCGGAGCAAAAAGACAAACAAAAAAGTTACTCAGAGCACAACTAAATACTGTTATTTCAATAATATAGAAATTACTGAGTTAGCTACCCCCTGGTATCTTTTCATACCTCCCCCCAAAAAAACAAACGTTCAAAAGGCGTGTTGAGGTGGTAGACATGCACTATCTACTGTCTTTTAAATTATGTTGGCGATACTTTAGGAACACCTTGCAAAAGACTGATGGCACGTGTCAGAGGTCCAGAGACAGAAAAGAAGACTTCACAGATCTCAAAGTCTGGACAGAGGTGGGTGAAGTGCTCTCAGGTACGTGAAGGAAGGAAAGCGCACCCAAGGGAGATAAAACTATAAAGAGGTCCCACCACAGCAGCCTGCGGGCAGCTGGGGAGCTGGATGTGCACCAGCGAGGAAGAGAGGTGACACCTTCACTCTCTCTCCCACCTGCGTCCACCACTTTTCTTGCCCTCCCTAACTCCTTTCTTATCCTCTTTCTCCCCTTTACCACTTTCTACTCGCCCCTCTCTTCCTAATCTTCGGGTTTGAACCACTTTGAAGGTAATTAGCCCCAGCTGGAAAACAGCCCTGCTCTTCCTCCTCCCTCATCCCCTAGTCCGGGTTCCCGCTGAGCTCCCCGCAGCTGGGACCTTTCTCCCCGAGCTCGGCAGCCCCAGCTGGCGGGGGTGATCTACTTCGCGAGCCTACAGTGGGCTGGCCTCCCCATGACGCCAGCCGGCTCCCCTCCCGCCTGCTCTCCGCCAACCGCACTCCCCCACCGCGCCCCATCCCCAAAGAAACCCAAACTCTTGTGGCCTCTGAAACTGTCAGTGTCCCCAAGGTCTCTGCCGGGATCCAAGACTTTCCCGATCCTTGTGGGGTCGCGTCCGGGGGTGGAGGGGGGACATTACCTCTTTGCAGGCGTGAAGCTCCGGGGCCGCTCCCCGGGTCACCTGGAAGGCGGTCCCGACCCACAGCAGCAGCCGCAGGAGCCGTAGTGCGCGCTGCTCCGCGGTTCCGCCGGCGGCGGCAGAGGGATGGAGCCTGCGCCCAGGCTCAGCCATAGCGTCGTCCTGAGCGGGAGGCAGCAGCGGCTCAGGTGCGGTGGCTGCTGCTACAGCTGGCGAAGGCAGGGAAAAAAGGGGTGGGAGGTTCCCAAGGGGTGGATGCAAGGGGCTGGGCTCGCTCCAGTCACCTCCCTGCGGCTACGCCAAGGCCGCCCATCCTACCTCCTCCCTCCTGCCTCCTCTCCCCGCCTACCCGCGTCGCCTAGGCAACCGCCTCCTCTGCTTCCGCGCGGGTGGGGTGGGGACCACGCGCTCCTCTGCCGCTCACCTGCCGGTCGCCATGGCAGCCGCCGCCGCTCGCTCGCGCGGCGGGGAAGTGCGCGCGCCTGGAGGGGGGTCGCAGCTTGCCCAACAGGCGGGTGCGCTAAGGAACGCGATGGAAACATCCTCCAAGCCATCGCCACCAAATTCATATTTTCCACTGCCTTTCGGGCCCTGAACTCTTCAGGAGCATCTTTCATTTTTCAGACGCGGCGTTTGACAAATACTTATTAAGCCCCTTCTGTATGTGAAGCGACCGAAGGAGACGGTGTGGCCGAGACGAGCGGTCTCCTCCGGTGACTGTCAGCTGCTGCAACAGTCGCTTCAGGAGCTCCCACGTCCACTTGGTGAAATCCATCCGTGCCTCTGCAACCGCCGAGTTCAACTGAGTTTAACCGAAGAGAGTTTGCTTTACCCATTAATTTTCCAAGCAAGACAAATGGGTTCCCCTGTACCTTGACAGCCCCGTTCTCTCTTTGCTTTGAAATAATCATTTTGTTAAATACGAGGAGAAAGTTCTTGAGTTCTTTTGAGTACTTCTTTCTTCAACCAAAGTCATTTGCAGAAGTTCTGTATCACAGAATGTGACATTTTTCTTTCCTTTTTTTTTTTTTAAGATTTATTTATTTATGCACGCAATAGCGGGGTGTAGGCCAGAGGTGCGTGAGAGGATTTACCTGAGACAGAGTGAGGAACAGAACAGGGAGACTGGCTGAAATACACTGCTGAGGGGAGCAGAGGGGAGACAGGAGAGGTCTGCTGTGCCATGTGGGTAGCTCCCTGGCCAGCCGGGGGATCGAACTCGCGCTGCAGAGGCTGCACATTGCTTTATAGTGCGGTGCTTAACCCCTTGCGCCACCAGGGAGGCCCGGATGTGGCATTTTTCAACTAAAGGCTCGTGAATGCAAATCCAGGCTTCCTGGTACCCTGAGAGGCGGATGCTCCGAGTTCCCGGGAGCTTCCTCCTCCCGAAGGGCCGCCTCGTCCGACCGCCAGGGGGCGCCGGTCCCGACGAGCATCCACCTCGGTAACAGTTGACTGGGCAGTTGCCTGACGACCGAAACTGGGCATTCCAAACAATTGGGACCCTGGAACCGCAGCCGCAAGGTTGTGAGCGGCTGCTTGGGCCTCCCATCCCTCGGGGGAGCGCCGCCTTGGGCATTTTACCATGGCTTACACCCGAGAGTCTGTCCAGAACCCTGCGTTGAATAACGCTGATGCCTTCTTGGGAAAAGTGCAGGGTACCAAGGTACTTGACTTAGTGAGCAGATTCCCCAGAGGGTCGACCCTCCTCTTTCTGTAGGCGTGGCGGGCAGAGGTGGTAACTTAGGCGACTGCTGAGGACACTGAGTCAGGAACCGGAGAAGTCTGTTTCCACCTACCTGCATGTCCCCATACTCAGGTCTGCTGAGTTATCGAGGTGCCTTCGGAAGGTGAAGTAGAGTTCTAGTCTAAAGGTAAAAGGGACTTTCACAACCCGGAGTGGAGATCTGAGTTAGTAGTGGAGCTGTAACAGACCTGGTAGGATTCCAGGTAGCCCTTTACAGTGTTTGGAAAATTGTTCTCTGAAGAGATGAGAGATGGAGTGGGAGAGAATCCTTTGAGTGCCCCCATGTCATGCTTTGTACACGCCTCCCTTTTTTCTGGTTAATACTGGTGTGTTGTGTGCGTGTGCATGTGCGTGTGTGTTTTTAATGATTGTTGTCAATAATTTGGACATTTAGATCATCTTTTTTGGTATAAGTGTTTGGGATGTTCGAAATGGTGCAAAATAAGGTGAATTAAGCAGTAATGTGGCTTAATAACAGAATCAAAGCACCTCCTTTTGTTTATTCAGTATTTATTATTTACTATATGCCAGATACACTCCTAGACACTGAGGATATATAGACAAATTAGATATAGTTCCTGCTTTCAGGGAATTTGATTTAAAAAGACAAGAGGAACAGCAAAAGTGCTTACACAATAGTAATATGTTGTGAGAGTGACAAGTACAGTGTGATGAGAACTGGAAGTTCAAAGGAAAACTTACTGGAGCAGGTGAGTTTTGACATCCAAGCATGAGTTAGCTGGGCCAGGTGAGGGAGACAGTGAAATGTGACTTAGGAAGAAGGAAAATAGGCACCAGACATTCAAGGTAAAGGGAGAAGCTGTGCTGCATGTGTGGAAAGGATAATGAGAATGACCTGTTTGGAGGTGATTCCAGAATGACTGAAAGGTGAGTGAGGAATGCAGGAGAGAACTGGAGCTGGGGAAGCTTTTTTTTTTTCCCCAAAGATTTATTTGTTTATGCATACAAGAACTGGAGTACAGGCCAGAGGTGTGGGGGGTGAGAGGATTCACCAGAGACGAAGTGGGGAACAGAACAGGCAGATTGACTGAAATACACTGCTGAGGGGAGCAGCGGGCGAGTCAGGAGAGGTCTGCTGTGCCATGCAGGTCAGCTCCCTGGCCAGCCTGGGGATTGAACTCGTGCTGCAGTGGCTGAGGACAGCCTCACAGTGCAGTGCCCAACCCCTTGTGCCACCAGGGAGGCCCCTGGGGAAGCTTTACCCTGTCGGGTGTGCTATGTGCATCATGGCAGTGAGCTTGGATTTCATCCTGCAAGCACTGTGGAATCATGTTGGGATTTTAAACACTGGAGTGACACAGTAAGTGGGTATTTCAGAAAGCATAAGTAGCAGTGGATTGGACCGGATGGGAGTAGGATGAGAAGGATCAGCTAGGAGTCAGAGATCCCAGGAGGCAGCTCTGAAGTAGTGATGCTTTGTACACATCATGCTTTGTACACGCCTCCCTTTCTCCTGGTTAATACTGGTGTGTCGTGTGCGTGTGCATGTGCGTGTGTGTTTTTAATGATTGTTGTCAGTGATTTGGACATTTAGATCATCTTTTTTGGTAGAAGTGTTTGGGATGTTCGAAATGGTGCAAAATAAGGTGAATTAAGCAGTAATGTGGCTTAATAACAGAATCAAAGCACCTCCTTTTGTTTATTCAGTATTTATTATTTACTATATGCCAGATACAGCTAGGAGTCAGAGATCCCAGGAGGCAGCTCTGAAGTAGTGATGCAGGAGATGGCAATAAAATGCAGACATTGAACAAAATATGCTGATGTCCTGCCCAATATGCATTTCAGGCGCATACTATAATGATTCTGCATATGCATATACACTCCAGTTTTCTACCTCTAAATAGCATTAGCATATCTCACCTTTTCCTCAAACTTAGGATGTCTAATCTGAACCTGAGCTCCTCATCTTTCCTACTGCTCCCCACCTTTCATCTACTTTGTCCCCTCCACTCCTTTCCCTGCATCTCTGGTGCATTTATGTCAATTCTAAGATTAAAGATTTAAGAGGCTCAGATGTCTAGGGAGTCTTGCCCAGTGTCTTTCTTCTCTTTACAGATGCTCCTCTGAGCTTCAGCTGAAATAGAAGGGAATAAGGGGGTGGATGCTACCACACCAGCAAGGATCCTGTAACCAGATCTTTGGTGTGCTTTCTCTTTTGCAGAAACTGCCCTATATGAAGACAATTTACCTTGCTCAGCAACAGGAACCCTGGCGTCGACTCAGCTTAATTCCCACAGCCACCTCCCTGAGAAGGGATATTTATTTTTTTGATCCTAAGGTATCCAGTGTTGAAGTGTTATTTCTCTTTATACCCACCTAAGATTAATATCCTTTTTGTAGCCTGACCATGACTACATCATCTTCTGTTTTGTTCCAACTCAAGATCCATCAAATCGAAAAACAATTACCAATTTGTCTTGCCTCTGGGAAGTCAGAAAAGTTGGGTTTTGCTCCAACCAGTGATCTGGAGCAAATAAAATTTTTTTTTTTCACCAAACTTCTTCCTCTCCCAATTTTAAGGACGTGTGAGTTAAGGACCATTAAGCCCAAGCCTGGGACAGCATAGTGACTCTCAGGGTTCCAGTGGGAGCGCATCACTCCTTAGACCTACCCATTGAGAGACAGTTCTACATTGACAAGAAGTCAGCATGTACAGTTTAGTGTGAAAAGAATTGGTGTATCTCAGAAGCCACAGGGGTACACCCTGCTTTTGGGGAAGAGTAGAGTCCAACAGAATCAGGCTGGAGAAAGGGGCAGAGGTGATAACTTAACCTTGGGGGGTGGTTGACTTCCTGTGTAGATTCCGAAGGATGACCTGGATTTCCGCTTATCAGCCTTGTACAACCAACACACTGGGATCTTCAACAACAAAAATGAGATACTGCTCCACCAGGAGACCATCAAGGATACCCACGGGTAAGCGGTACAGGAGGAGCCTCTCCACCTAAGGAAGTTTGCCAGGGCAAACTGTCACCTGGGAAATAACAAATCAATAGGAACTCAATTGTATACATTTCTGTATTTTTTTTTAACATCTGCATCTGTAGTGCAACTTCTGTTTTTGGTTTCAGTTCAGCAACCTTTGTTCATTTCTGGTGGGGGGGGGCGAATAATGCCTCCCTTTTCATGCTCCTACCCCTCCCTACCCCAGGGCACTGTCAGTGTCAGTGTCCTCTGTTGGGGAGGGTCCTGGTGCCCAGAGGCATGGTCTGCAGGCTTGGCAGGGCAGCTTGTTCTGTGATGGGGGCGCTAATCTCCTCTATAGAGGGACTAGAGAAAGGTGGTCAGGACACTGCCAGTCAACACCCCGCTCTATTATGTCCTCAGTGAGAGCTACAGTGTAGTAAGGGTGGGAGTGTCCCCAACCTCAGCAGCCAGAGGGACCCAGGTTCCCAGGTAGTGCCAGGGAAGCAAGTTGGAGAGCAGGGTCCTGATGGAGGGCAGAGCTGAGGGAAAGCCATGTTGGGGGGCTGCAGTAAGGGCGGTCATTTTGCAGGCTGAGTTGAGAGAAGTGGGTGGCCACAATCTCTTTGGCTGAGAACTGCTGGTGTAGGGGTTCCCTGGGGAGACAGACTGGCTAGAGTATTCAAGGACACGGTGTGACAGGGACCTGGTGTCCAGACCTGGAAGCACCCCCAGTCATGCTGGGCCAGACTACTGGCGGCCTGACCCCAGTGGCTGCTGCAGAATCACTGGAGTTCAGGGTCCTTTCAATTTCTGTATCGTTGTCTAAAATGAATATAGATCCTCCAAGATTGTGTTCATTTGTATAAACAAACAAAATCTCCAGTTAAATCCACAGAAGGGCTTAAAAGGGTCTTCGGCTGCATTATTTTTGAAGTTGTATCCATCTGTCTTTCCCTCACCTTTCTCCTGATTTATTTCACTCCCCACTGTTCTTCCCCACACCATCTTCTAGAATCGTGGCCCAGTTCCCTGGAGAATGTTTAGCCCCTGCCCCACCACCTCCTATCACTTCCCGAGCTAACATTAGACACTGGATCAACCCTAAAAAGGAATCCATCCACAGCATCCAGGGCTCCATAGGTAAGAGTTAGAGGACTTGGTGGGCAAATGGGTGGTGCACGTTTCTGACCCAGGAAACAGGGAGTTGTTGTGATTGACTTTAAGGAACATCAAGGATATATAAGGAGCTTGAGAGAGAACATATGGGACTAAAACCAGGGAACATGCTCACTAGAGAGCCATAAAATGAATTAAATTCCAATTGAGCCTTGAGCCTGGGGAACAAAGATTCCAGCAAAGGGCTGAAACCTGGGAAAGGAACTATAGCTATCTCACTCTGGTTCTTTATATGCCCATTTCCCCAGCTGTTACAAGAACCTTCTCCATAAATGTGTGGGTGACTAGAATCCTTGAAAAAGCAAAGGATCTGAAATTCACAAATCATTCCCTCTTCTCTTTTCTAGTGTCCCCTCACACTGCAGCCACAAATGGAGGCTACTCCCGAAAGAATGACGGTGGCTTCTTCTCCACCTAATGTTGACAGGCTCCTGGACTAAGTAATCATACGGCACTCTCCTGCCGCTCACCTCATTAAATAGATTTGTGCAAGATGGAGCCTGAAGTGTCCGTTACCCATGAACTATGAGTTGCCATTGACTACTTTTAATTTTCTTAAGGATTTAAAAAAAGGATTTATTGGGCCTCCCTGGGTGGTGCAGTGGTTGAGCGCTGGGTTGCAAAGCTGGCTGCAGCCCCTGCAGTGCCGGTTTGATCCCCGGCCGCCAGGCTAGGGTCCCACATGGCGCACAGACCTCTCCTGCTGCCCACTGCTCCCTGCAGCAGTGTACTTCGTCCCTCTGCCTGTTCTACTTTCCACTCTGGCTCTGGTAAATTCTCTCACCCTCTCACGCCTCTGACTGTACGCAGTGCTTGTATAAATAAATCTTTTTAAAATAAATATTTATTTATTTATGCATACAAGAACAGGGGTACAAGCCAGAGGTGTGTGCGGGGAGGGGTGAGAAGCTTCACAGAGACAGAGTGGGAAGCAGAACAGGCAGATGTACTGAAATACACTGCTGAGGGGAACAGTGGTTAAGGCAGGAAAGCTCTGCTGCGCCATGCGGGTAGCTCCCTGGTGGGGGTTTGAGTTGGTGCTGCAGTAGCTGCGGATAGCTTCATAGTGCTGCATCTTAACCCCTTGCACCACCAGGGAGGCTGGCCATTGACTACTTTTTAAAACATGGAAGGAAAGTTTCCAAACTTCTAGATACTAGTCCTGTTGGGCCTTTTTGCAACTTGGAAAGTCATCTTGCAGAAAAGATAAGAATTTAGTACAGAACAGCTCTGCTTTGCACAGGAGGCAGGTATTTATATTTTGTAAATGGGAGTCATTTTAAACATACAGCTGCATCCATTCAACATTTCCTACAAATCTTTTGTGTATCAGACACTGAGTTAAATGTTGGGGAAACAAGAAACATAGCCCATTTTCCTATTAAGTTTATAAACATTATAATGTTAGTAGGTGTAAGGCAGCACAAATATTTTTGCTGAGGTCACACTTAGCAGATTTCAGACCTGGGTTAATCATCTGTTGCACTTTACTTTTCTATGTGGGTCCCACTTCCCTGCTCTTGGCTCCAACTCTGCTACTGTCTCCTTGTCTGGGAGTCAGGTTCCTTTTTTGTGTGTCAATCTGTACATTTGTTGATGGACCCTGGCAACTGATATATAAACCTGGTTCTTAAGGAACATGGTCCAACAACCTGGTGCTTGGGTTTGAAGGCACTTAAAAAAATAATGCATTAATAGGTTCGTAATATTACAACTCGGATATGGTAAATTACCATGTTCAAATTTGGACACCATGTGCATTATTGAGTAATCCAGGGGCTTGAAGGGGCTTTTTCCTGGTACTGAGCTGCAGGGTCTTAAATATCACCCAACTGTCATAGCTTCTTCTCCAGATACCCCAGTCTATTCAGATAGTATCTGCTACCCAGGGACAGTTTCAGTTTTTCATTATTTAGAATGGCTGAATGGCAGAGGGGGACTGGATAAATCACCTCATGCAGGTGGTTATTTGAAATCCTGATCATTAAAAAATGTATCACCCTGATCCATGCATTCAGACTTCTAAAATACGGGTTTCTAGACTCCCTTCTAATTCTGATTCAGTAAACCTGGACTTGGTCCCTGGAAACTGAATTTTATGTTTTCCGGGTTCTCCAAGACATGTATGTCCATATACAGACGTGCGTGCATGTGTGTGTGTATAGAAAGAAATAAGCTGTGTATGTTTTTTTGCTGTAAATTACCTTCACCCTGTGCACTTTTTGGTACATTCTGTTATAAAAACGTCTCAAAATTGAAGTGTTCAAGAGTTTAGGTCGGGCTAACCCACTCAGTAGGCTGTGAAAACTGTACACCCACCCACATACATACATACAACCATTGGTAGCAGACACTATGCTATCGCTGGGCCTAATGGCACCAGTGCCGGCACTATACAACGAATCAGCATGGCAGGCAGGACCATAAGAAATCTAAAAAAAAAAGAGGCGGGGGGGGGGGGGATTAGGGGATTACAAACTGCAGCAGCGCGAAGCAGGCCTCGCGAGCTCCCAGCTCCCGCGGGCGGGCGGGCACCGGCGCTTCGCCCCCCGCACCCGCCCCCCTGCCCGGGGTGGGGGCCGCGCTCAGATCAGAATCGCCTCGATAATCAACGGCCCGGGACGAGCCCGGCCTCGTCTATCTGATCAATTCATCACTTCTGAGCGCGGCCCCGGCAGCCGACCCCGGGGCCACGCGCCCCGCCCGGAGGCCTCGCCGCACAGCGCCCGGGGGCTTCGCGGGAGGCGCTTCTCACCTCGGGCCGGCCCGGCGGGCGGGGGCCCGGCCCGATCAAATAAGATCAAGGTGTAGGCGGGAGGGGCGCAGGGCGGGCGCACGCACTCTCCTCGCACGCCCACGCGCGCCCGCTCACACTCGCACTCGCACGCCCACGCACACACTCGGCCCGCACGCGCCGCCACGCAGCACCCGGGCACACTCACACTCACGCCGCCCGGCCCAGGCCCGCTCCGCGCGCGGGCGGAAGTGCGCACGCGCCTTTAAAGCCTCCGCCCCGCCCCCGCCCCGGAGGATTCTGGGAGGAACCGCGGACCCCGCCCTCGCGGAGAGCGAGCGCTGCTGCCCTCGCGCGGCTGGGCGGGGAACCGCGGGCGAGGAGGGACAGGTTCCGTGAGGACAGGCTGCACGGAGGTGGTGGCTACGTGTCTATACACACATCTTTATTTCTTTTGATCTTTGACCCATATGGGTTTAGGTAAACACACACACACACACACACACACACACACACACACAGCTGTCTGTATTTAGCTGAGTATCTGCACGCACCAGCGCCCCCAAAGGGGAGAGGTGAGTCCGCGTTGATTCTGAACTATGTAATACAGTCAGCATTCAGGGGAACTTAAAAGGTAAACTATGGGCAGAAACAAGGGGAGTGTTGAACTAAGCTCAGGAAATTCAACATGTGACCAATAAAATAGACAAAGACAATAGGGATAGAAATTTTATTTTCAAGGATTTTGCAGACAATGGTGAATTTAAAAATTGTATTTCAATTATAAAAAGCTGATTTCTTTCCACTCTGGCATACAGGGGATGACAGTGTGAGTCTGAGGCAATATTGCTATCCCCATTCCTCTACCTCTGAGACTCCCTCAGAGGAAAGCCTCCTATACTTTCAGTGGAAAATAGATAAGACACAGCAGCCAATAATGAGTTAAAAAGGCCTGGCTTATCTGCATACATAAAGTCAAGAAATGAAATAAGCTGTGCATTTGTTTCTTGCTGTAAATTACCCTCACCCTGTACACTTTTTGGTACATTCTGGTATGAAAGCGTCTCAAATTGAACTGTTCCAGAGTTTAGGTCAGGATAACCCAATCAGTAGGCTGTAAAAACTGAACAACTTGAACTGTGAAATGGAAATAGTTTAAAATATGAAGGATTCCTAAGCACCAAGCTTAGACACTAGCCCTATTAGAAAACAAATCATTAAAGCTACAAAATAACAAGTGCAAAACATGCTGAGCCTGCGTTTCCAGGGCATGACATTCCCCCTGGCCAACAGGTCCCAAACACACCCACAAGGTGTAACTCCTCTTCCTGTTTCACTAGATTTCCTTTCTCGCATGTGAAAGATCCATAGACATGATGGTGGAAAACATCCAATCACTAAAATTTACCCTGTGGACCAATTCCTGAAGAGACAATAGTCACAACTCTGAGATGACTAGACATGTAGTGTTTACTTGATGACTTTCACAACCTAAACTTCTAGCAGCTTTTGTTCCTTTGGAGTAAAAGACAATTTGCTGCCACACAGGGGTCAAGCACAACTAACTAGCCCAAAGTTTTACTTTACCGGAATTTTCAACCAGTAGACCTATGTCTATCCTTGCTTGTTATAATAATTTTAAACCAACTTTTTTTGTTGTTGTTGGTCTTCAGAAAAGCAACAACTGATCCTTTTGCAGATATAAGGAGGGAATGGCAAAGTCTTCCCTTTCAATGCTGAGTCATCTAAAATGATTTGCTCAGGAATTATCATACTCCATGGAAAAGCCTATCATTTTCAATTGCAAACCTGTCTCCTGATAATCCTCATTTTATTTATGAACTGTCCAACTGTGGCTATGAATATTAGCAACTTCGTTCTACAGTCTCATGTTCTTACAATAAATAGAATTTCCAAGAGATAGCAAAGACTATAATATTTAGAAAATGAAAAATTGGCCAAGAAAAACAAGGAATCAACTAAAAACTGCCATAACACCACCAATTTAAACATAGAATACAAAGCTTGTATCTTGGATAACATGACAAAACTTCCATCTAACATCACAATAAATTCTTATACTAGATGAATTTACTTGTATATCAACAGATATACTAGACCTATTTATATCTTCTACCCTAATGACAAATATATTAAACAATTATTTCTTCAATACTTTCTCTTTCCCCTAGTGAGTAACAGTATTTAGTACTCAGTAATTTAGAAAATATAAAAGTCTTTAGGAAAATAGCAACAGTGGATTAATTTTCCATATGCCATTTGATTGGGGAAAGTCATCTTTTGGGGATTCTGGTGAACGAGACTTTTTTTGTCTAAGTTGCTGCTTTCTGGTCTCATAACAGACGGATAATTTGCAAATCTTATGTAGATGTAGGTTCTCTTGGCAAAACTCTCAAGCTACCAGTACGCGCACAGCTATTTCATCTGTTCTTTTTTTGCAGAGAGGATCATGCCTCTCTTGTGTTCCCACATGGGCATATGAAAGACAAATTTCCAGAGGAAAAAACTTCTTGGCATCATATAACTTCTGTTTCCTACCCAGCACCCCACAAACCCCAACTGCCAAATCCAAATCAAACAATGGAAAAAAAGTCTTAAAAATTATCTCTCCTTCCAAGAGGTTTAAATTATGTCCTATCTCCTTTCCTAATGAGTCTCTTTGAAAAGATTCTGTTGAAGAGCTGAAAGAAAATAGGTGAGAGGTTTTAAAAGCTGAAGGTATGTAATCTTATCATCGAGGGGTGTAATTTATCTGGATATTATATACTTTCTGCCATGGATTGATTTACACAGATCAAAGGAAGTTGGCTTTCTGGAGTCCCCTGAAGCATAAATAATGTTCGTAGCCATGAGGAGCTTTCCCCCCACATGTGGTGGGAGCAGATGCTGTGGTGTCATTCTGGGGACTTTGATGTTTTTAGCTGAACTCTCCTACACTGGGCCCAGGCCCCTGATAGGTTCTTCAAGCTTGTCCCCTTGGTTGGCAGTTGATGAGATAGGTGCTTTGAAATTCATTTTATGAACAGGACATAAAAGGCCATTACAATGCAGGCAATTGCCACAGCAGCATGCAGTCTGGTTCCAATCACAGCGGCTAGCAGGCAAAAGTAAAAAAGAGAAATCACACTCTATCCTTCATGAAAGTTCTCCCTTTCAAGGTGATATTTTAAAGTCTCTAGTCACATATGAAGAGATCTCAAGAACCCATAGGAATGCAGTTAAATAGTGCCCTTAAGTTCTAGATTCTAGGTGAAAATACCACTTAGTTATATTTTGCCCTATTTTGAATAGAGATTTAGATAGGTTAGAGTCCAAATTAAAGTGTCAAAAATAAAAAGTAAAAAGGCATGTGAGTTAATGAAGTCAACACTGAAAAAGAGACTAGTGTATTTTTTCCAGAAATTAAGAAAAAATTTTCATGTTTTTAATCTTTTTAGGTCAGGGAATACATTCCTCCAAACAATTCCAGTTTAATCTAAAATTTTTTATTTTTATATTTTTACTCCATGGAAAAATAATAAAGTCATCTTTTTTAAAATTTTTGCATAGAAGAAAGGCGGTTTAGGCTGGAGCTATGGGGGCGGGGTGAGGGGATTCACCAGAGACAGTGTGGGGAGCAGAACAGGCAGACTGACTTCAATACACTGCTAAGAAGAGCAATGGGTAAGACAGAGAGGTCTGCTGCACCATATGTGAGTTAGCTCCCTGGGCAGGGATTGAACTCAGGCCGTAGCAGTGACAGCATTGAGAATAAACCCCTAGGTCACTGGGGAGGCCCAATAAAATTATCTTGATGCTAAAATAAGCAATTATAGAAAATCAAAACCAAATACAATCTCGGTTTATCTTCCCTCCCCCCACTTTGTAGCATCTTATTGTCCAGAGATTATCTTACCTTTGTAAAACACTCCCCAAACTCCCTTCTTCTCTGATAGCAGCCAGGTTTTGAGACGAGGTACTTTCTTGAAGTAGGCACAGGTGCATACAAAGAGCAAACCAAACACCAGAATCCCATCCAAGGAGTACACTATTACAGAAAGAGAAGAAAACCTTTGATAGTAATCTAGCTTGGGACAAGTGACCCCACTTTCGAAGGCTCCAAGGAGAACAGAGTATGATATACTATCAAGATAACCTCAACTGTAGTGCCAACCTGTGACAAATGGGGGCCCAAGTCCTTGGACTATCAAGGTTAGCTTATCCCCAAATTGCCTGCAGACATCCCCCTTGCAACAATTTCACCACCCCTTTACTTTTCAAGACTTCAAGTCCCAGTGAATCAATTTATGCAGAATCAGCTTCCCAGGAATGGCTAGTGTTGGCAAATGGTAAAAAAAGAAGAAAGAATTGCTGGCGCCTCAGAGGAGAGAATTATTATACACCAATCCTGTGACAAAGGAGAGCTAAACATTTAGCCAAACCTCTCAGATCTGCCTCTCTTTGTGAAGAATATGTTATGGCAAAGAGTAAAACTTAATGGAAATTGCAAGAGTTATAATCCACATGAGCACAATTTTCCTATGCTAATCCTATACTTCAAGCATGCTGCTGCTGACATTTCTGCCAAAATAAGAGATTCATGCCAAAAACTAAAAAAAAAAAAAAAAAAAAGGCAGAAAGTTTTGAAGTTATTTCTTCTACATGTGAGCACAATCACCTAAATGCTAAAAATCGTAGACCACAAGAGAGGCAAAGGGGACTTAAACTTATTCAATAATCACTGTGTCAGAATGCTCTTTTATTGCCTAGTCCAGATGATTTCTTCCTCTGCATTCTGTGGTTAGTAATGTCAGACCTCTGACTGCCCAGGAAGCTCTATAAGAATATTTTAGATAACCAACATCTGCCAGTTCTGAACCACTCTATTGCCCTTTCTTCCCCCAGGAAAACTATCTCACACAACAAAGATCTGGCAAATGAATATATAAACCACATTTTTAGGATGAATACCTTTATGTGCTCGTCTTTTACTCCCATAAGTTCTACCGACTGTCAAAATTCAGGAAATGAAATTTAATTCTTCAATAACAGGCCTATGGAGAAGGCACTTTAAAGAAATGCTTTCCAGTGCCCCTCAAATCATACGGCCTAAGAGGCCTTTTCTTTCCTTTAAGGCTAACTCTTAAGATCATAAAGGCAATGCGTCCCGATCTTCCCAGGAATCACAAATCATGTCTATAAGGTGCTTTAAGATTAAGACCTGGAAAATTAGATCAGATAAACAGTGGTAATTGTCTTATCTTTTAAAAGGGGCAGTATCTGACGCCAACCCTTGTAGCAAGGGTCTCCGTTTGGCATCACCTACGCAGAACTTCAGAATTAAACAAACACATAAAAAGGCTACTCAGCATTATTTTCAAAACGAACTTTTTTCCCTGGGGGTTGCGGGTGGGAGTAGGGCCTGAAAGCCTGTGTGATTTCTTGGTATTCCCAAGTCTACTGTGAGAAAGATCGAAAACACAGGCGACTAAGAGTCCCTTTTCCTTGGGGCTAAAGCAGTAGTTCTGCCGGGACCGCCCTCCCCTTCCAAGGGTCAGATCAAACATCTAGGAAGAGGAAAGAGAGAGGCTCAGGGTAGGTACCGAGGCCTCAAGGTGTGGACACAACGGGCTCTGCTGGGCCTCGCTGGGCCCAGAACGGGAGAACCGGAGGAGACACTGGGGGACAGGAGTTGGGGGCACCTGGAGGCCAAGGGGGGCTGGGCCGGGAGGGGGCGGGAAGAATGGCCACGTCAGTCCCGGTCCCGCCCGGCACGCCTCCCCTCGCCCTTCTCGCCCATCCTCCATTCTGGGCATTGGCTCTCACCGTTCGTCATGGCGGTTGGGCCCAGGCCTGACTTCGGGGTCTGGGTCCGCAGTGGCAGAGGCGAAGGCGGGGGAACGCAGCTCCCGCTTGACACTTCCGATCGCGGCCGCGGCGACGGGCAGGTGTGTCAGTGCGCAGGCGCCAGGACAGAGAGGCGAGCGCCGATCGCGATCAGGCGTGGCTAGCGGATTGCCGAGATGAGGCGAGGGGCCTGCCTGGGTGGTCCTTGGGTGCTTAGGAGGGACCGAGAAGAGCTGGCAGGGAAGGCTTCCTCAGTAGCCTTAGTAACCAAGACTTTTGGGGGCGTCCCTGCGGAGATAGTGCTGGCGCATAACTCCACCTGTCCGCGTCGGTGTTTTGCAAAAGGTAAAGGCTTTCAGGAGGGTGTGCGCGCCGCGCGTGGCCTCCGCACTGAGGAGAAGTCTGACACCTGAGGTGAAGAGGCGGCCCTCAGGGCCCCCAGGACTGCCCTTGCAATGCCCCTCTTCGTTACTCCTTAGGGAATTCTGGGCTCGTGGGCTGCGTGTGAGCTTTCGAATTGAGGTAAGGTATACTACGACAAAAACAAGCCTCATATTTCAGGTCCCACATCTCCACTTCATTGGGAAAATTCAGATAATTGCCTGTTTGTGTGGGGTTTTTTGTGGGTTTTTTTTAAACTCTGAGGACAGTCTGTTATCTCCGGTATTTAATCAGTGCTGGGGTCAATTTGACCGCTTTAACCAGAAATCGGTGATAACTGGACAGCGCTTCTCACAACACTTTTGCAACCTCAGATGCTGTCAGTTTAGTGGTGGGGGTGGTGTGGAGCAGACAAAGCCAATGATTCCATTTTGTAAAGGGAAACCTTTAATTGCAGACAATTCGATCAGCTTTTCAGTGTCCGGGCGAAAGTGAGACTCTGAGTCTGCCCAGGTTGAAATGTTAAGATTAGGACCGACTCTGCCCCCTTGCTTCAGTGCCATCTGCTGTCTGAGGGTTGTTATGCAAAAGAAGGGGAAAATGACCACAGTCGCCTTCTAGGAACCGAGAAGTAAGCCAAAGAATTATAATGCAAAGCAGATGCCTTGCGAAAGTATACATAAATACAGAAACAAACAACTGGAAGGCTTGGAAGGCATGCAGGGCTAAATCTAAGAGAAGTCCAGGTATGTCAGTGCATATGCACACACAAACCTCCCTACCCTAAAGAGCTGTTCAGGTTCACTCAAAAACAAAGCAAAACAAAACAAATAACTCCTACTGAAGAGTTTTGGCCTTTGAACCTTTCATCAATTATTATCTAAAATAGCATCAGCATTATCATCATCACAACTGACTATTAATTCTCTGTACCAAGGCTGAGTAAAGATCCCAAATCATTCTAACCAGGTTCTAAGCAAATTCATGTTCACTAATTTAAACTATTATGTGGCTCATCTTCATCTAAAAAAAAAAAATCTCCTTCTTAGAGACTATGGAACTATGCCCTCTTCACTTGCCTGTGAAAAGACTTATTCTGTCTTCTTCAAATGTACTCTTTAATATCTTATTTTTGCTTATGCTATTTAATCTTTTGGAGAGTAAATCAGGAGTGGTTAGCAGACTATCAAGATGGGAACCTGCTAATCAGAAGGGAATGAGTTTGGCTATATCTCCTCATTTTTCACTGGCGGGAAACTTCTCCAATTTCTGTAATGTTCTGAAAAAAATACATCTTCCCATCACTCTCTGAGCTTAAGGATAAATCACAATTGAAGAGCTGGATATACTGATTAACTTGGCTAGTACAATATCTTACTTTGATTAAACTTTTATTTTTCTCAGAATTCACCCTTTTCCTTCTTTCTTTTCCCATTTCTCTCTTGTCTTCCTACCCTTTTATCCCGCTCTTACATTTATGTCCTTTTTCTTTTTCCTTCACCATACTTTATCCAGATCGCAGAAAACATTTTACCTTTTTTATTGAATGAAGTGAATCACACCAGATTTTTATTTCAAAATTTTAGCTTTAAAGATTATATTTCTCTCTGTAAAATTGGGTTATAACCCTTTCTAGGGTTGTTGAAAGATTAAATAAATTACTATTTGTAACAAAATCTGGCATGAAGTGCTTGCCCTGTGTTAGCTACTTTGTTTTTGATTTGTTTAAAAAATATGTAACAGTATCTACTAAGTGCCAGGTACTGTGCAAATTTTGCAGGAGTAGGGGCAAGAATGAGTCCTTGCCATCAGAGAACAAACTTTATTGGGGAAGACAGATGAATAAACACATTTTATTAGAGTATAAGCATAGTGTATTTAAAGACATTACCTTTGATCAACTGTTTTACAGCATATTTTTTACTGTACAGCATATTTTTTACTGCGGTAACATTGGTTTATATCACTGTATGTGATTCAGAAGTATAGGTTGTGTGTCACCAGACTACACCTACCACCGAGACACCCAGAATCCTCCACCATATTCTAAGGAGCCCTTTCCCCATCTATTCTCCACCCTCCCCTTCCCTGTCCGGTAGCCTCAATTTTACAGTCAGATTTCTAGGGATTGTTTTTGATTTGGTTTTGTCTGACCCTTTGTTTTGTTTCTATGTATTCCACATAGGGGTGAAACCATCCAGTCTTGTCTTTCTCTTTCTGGTTTATTTCACTTAGCATACTCCAGAATATGTTTTAAATGAGCAATCTGAGGCCCAAAGGAAGCACATGGCTGAAATCACATAGCTAGATAGGATCCAAACCTAGGTTTGTCTGAATTCAAAACTTCTTTCCCTTTGTTACCACACTGCTCAAATTAGGATGCTGTTCTCTGATACTGATCTTTGCTTATTTTGTTCCAAGCATTAGTGTTTCTGTCATCCTGGAAAGTGCCATAGTCTCACATAAGGCCAAAGCCTGGGTCACTTGCTCTTGTAGCCCAACTACAAGGAATAAATAGAGCCCTACTGGCTGCAGACTCTATTCAGACAGTCCTTCCTTGGTTCATGTCAGCCTGCACTGGCTGATCACAGTTGTTGCCAAATGCCTGTCAGTCAAGAACAGTGGCCTGTTTGTTAGGTTTGTATTCACTGTGGTGAATGCTAATCAGTCAATGGGGCCATGACTATGGCATTCTGGTTTCACCAAAGAGAAAGTTCAGTCCCAAAGGCACAGCTTGCAATAATAGCTTCATTTGAATTACAACATATTTGAAAAGGGATGTCAAATAGGCATTAATTTATGCTACAAATATTTGTTCCAGAACGCCTAAGTCTAAGAAATGAGCTAGCCTTTGGGAGATCCAGGATGAATAAGAAACAGACTCTGTTCTTAATAAGTTAAAGATTTAGTAGACAAGATAAGCTGTGTATATAAATATATAAATAACCAGAAAATGCAGTAGACAGTGAAATGTGTGAACGGAAAATGAAAATGAAGTGTTAGGAGTGTAATGGAGAAAGTGCTTTTCAGGAGGGCTCAGGGAAGGCATTATAGGGCAGCAGCCATTTTAGCTTGGCCTCACAGGCATGTAGATTTCAATAAAAAAAGAAAGGTTTACTAGTGGGAAAGGAGTAGAGTGATCAAAGGCACACGGATGGGAAAATAGAGATATATATAGGGGCACAGCACACACTTCCCTCCTCCCAATACACTCTTCCTCCTTCACTAAGGAACCCCATTCATCTATCAGGTCTCTTTGCAAATCACTCTTGCTCAAGGGAGGCTTCTTTTGTCTTCTTGGTTTCCCTTACCCCATCTTTTTTTTAAAGATTTATTTATTATTTATGCATACAAGATCTGGGGCACAGGCCAGAGATGCGGGGGTGGGGGGGTGAGAGGATTTACCAGAGACAGAGTGGGGAACAGAACAGGCAGACTAACTGAAATACACTGCTGAGGGGAGAAGCAGGTGAGACAGGAGAGGTCTTCTTCATCATGTGGGTTGCTCCCTGGTGGACTGGAGATTGAACTCATGCTTCAGAGGCTTCAGATTGTTTTGTAGTGCAGTGCTTAACCCCTTGCGCCACCAGGGAGGCCCCCTCCCTTCCCCCATCTTAAGCTTCCAAAGCATAAATCACTATTGAACTCATGTCCCTCTCTTACACCATAAGAATCATTGGCCCTGGGCCTCCCTGGTGGTACAAAGGGTTAAGCCTCAGCACTATGAAGCTATCCGTAGCCATTGTAGCACAATTTCAATCCCTGGCCATGGAGCTGACTCACATGGCGCAGCAGAGCTCTCCTGTTTTTCCTGCTGCTCCCCTCAGCAGTGTATTTCAGTCAATTGGCGTGTTCTGTTTCCCACTCTGTCTCTGATGAATCCTCTCATCCCCTGCACCTCTGACCTGTGCACCGGTTCTTGTATGCATTAATAAATAAATCTTAAAAAAAAAAATCATTGGCCCTTATCTAGCAACACCTAGCAACACCCTAAAAGTAATTAACCTAACAATAAATAACAATTCCACAAAAGAATGAATTCCTCTCCAGGGCCTCCCCTGGTGGCGCAGGCGGTTGAGCACCATGCTGTAAAGCTGTCCACAGCCTCTGCAGCGCCAGTTCAATCCCGGCCACAGGCGAGGGTCCCACATGGTACAGCAGACCTCTCCTGTCGTGCCCGCTGCTCCCCTCAGCAGTGTATTTCGTCAGTCTGCCTGTTCTGTTCCCTGCTCTGGTGAATTCTCTCACCCTCCCGCGCTTCTGGCCTGTACCCCAGTTCTTGTATAAATAAATAAATCTTAAAAAAAAAAAGAATGAATTCCTCTCCAAAACAAGGACACTATCTCAGTACAATTTCTGCATTGGCAAATGCAGCTCTTTGTACATGCTTGTGTGTGTGCAAATGTCTTCTCCCTTCCTTTCTTTTAATAACCTTTAAAAACCTTCTAATAATCTAAGCTTTTAAAATATAACCTTTGCCTGCCCTTGTCTGTGTAAATGTTTTAATCTCCCTGGTAAACTGCCAAAACTTTTTGCAGAGATAACCTGAGTACCCCACTCACTAACCCCTACATCCCATCAAAATGACATCAAGGAATTGAATCCTGCTGACAATCATGTGAATGATTTTGGAAGTTAATTTTCCCCCATCAAAACTTTAGATGAGTCTACAGCCCCATCCAACATCCTAATTGCAGCATAAGGAACCTTGCATCAAAGGCACCCAACTAAATTGCATTCAGATTTCTGACCCACAGAAACTAATAAATGTTTAGTGTTTGGGGATAATTTGTTACACCGCAATAAATAACAAATGCAGCTAACTACCCACATTAACTAAAAAATAATATATAATGTTCTAAATGTAATTTCAGGGTAATACAAAGATAGCCAATTATAACACATGTTTATTTTAAAGATTTTTTTTAAATTTATGCATACAAGAGCTGGGTATAGGCCAGAGATGCAGGGGGGTGAGAGGATTCACCAAGACAGAGCGGGGAGCAGAACAGGCAGATCTATGGAAATACACTCCTGAGGGGAGCAGCCGGTGAGACAGGAGAGGTCTACGGGCCATGTGGGGTCAGCTCCTTGGTGGGGGATGGAAATAGTGCTGCAGCAGCTGCTTCCTTGTGCTGAGTCTTAACCCCTTGTGCCACGAGGGAGGCCCCCTATAATAAATGTTTTAATATCTAAATGCTCAGGCATAACTACACTAGAGATTGTAGCGAAGATTTCTGATTTTGCACCTATATGAAATGCAGACTGATTCCAGTGAGTATTAGCTACTCAAATTATTACAAGTGATGTGGCCCTTGGTGACATAATTTCTTGAAATGATTCACAGTTTTTGCTAAGTTCCACACAAAAGTAAGTACAATAACCCATCAATTTCAGGGTGGTTTCATTCCTAGAAAATTCAATGTACATTAAAAGGATAGGAAAATACTTTGTGTTTATGTTAATGAATTGCAGGCTCAGATTATTATAGACATTTTTCACCCACATGAATATATAGAACATTCAGAAATAGTATATTTGGGGATAAGTTTCCATTCCGTGGTAGATCATCTCTATCATCACAAACCATCTTAGCTCCCTAGGTGTAGGTTCTAATGCCCATGGTTTATCCCAATCATCATTGTGACCAAAAACTCCCACAGAACTTCACCTTCAGTCTAAGGGGTGGTTCCTTTGGAAACCAAAGGAACCAATTCAATACTTGGCATTAAATAATAGGGGGACTGTAAATTGTTGTGGTTGTCTAGATACCCCCTTCAGCAGTCGAAGGACGTCTGGCTAGCTCTCCAATGAGCCATAGCGTCGCAGTTCTGGATCACGAATAACTATTCGATGAATGGAAGCAAATTTAGGGTGACAACAAGATATATGCCGTTTAGCCCAGGGCGTCCTGCTCTTTGCTAATCTTTAAAGATTTATTTATTTATGCATGCAAGAGCTGGGGTACAGGCCAGAGATGAGGCAGGTGAGAGGATTCACCAGAGACAGAGCGGGGAACAGAACAGAGAGACTGACTGAAATACACTGCTGAGGGGAGCCGTGGGAGAGTCAGGAGAGGTCTGCTGCGCCATGTGTGTTCTCCCTGGCCGGGGATCGACCTCGTGCTGCAGTGGCTGCTGACAGCGTCAGAGGTTGCGTCTCAACCTTTTGCGCCTCTAGGGAGGCCCTCTTTGCTTTTCTTTAATTCCTTCCTTGGGATTGCAGAGCTGAGCACATCCCTTTCTTCTTAAGCACCTTCCAGGTCTCGCCGCTAGGGGGAGACACACTCTACTCCCCTAGCGGGATCCTCAGCTAGGCCCCGCCCCCGCCTGGCTAGGCCCCGCCCCACCAAGCTAGGCCCCGCCCCCGTTCCCGCCCCGCCTAGCTGGGCCCCGCCCCGGCGTCGCCGGAAGTGAGGCGGCGGAAGTAGTAAAGCGTGGCGCCGGGAGGTCGGCCGGGTGGGCGCGGCTGTGGTGGGATGGCAGATGAGGAGGAAGACCCCGCCGTGAGTTTCATTCTTTCCTTCACTCCTTCGGGCGCAGCTAGCGGAGGCGGCGCGCGGGCTCGAAGCTGTTTGGTGAATTCAGCCGAGAGGGTCCGGAGCCCCCGCGCCGGCGCGTCCTCGCGGCCGCTGTCCTGGGGGGCCCGGGCGGCGGGGCGTCGCCTCCACGGGCCCGCGGCTGCCGGAGCCGGCAGAGGCCGGAGCCGGGGCTCCCGGGCGCGCGCTGTGCAGCAGCAGCTCGTCTGCTAACGCAGCTGCACACACTCGGGAAAGATAACCGAAAACCAGGGAAGTTGGGGTGCAAACTGTACCCTGTGACCAAGTTTTAAAAACCTGGGACCCGCGGTTTTCTTGTCGCTCACCGGGTTAAGGCTCACGTCAGGGAGTTCCTGGCGCTGTGTAAGCAGGGGTAGTAAATAATGATTTTGCTAACTTTTAAGATTTTATTTGCTTTTGCGTGGAATAACGGGTACACGCCAGGGGTTTAGCCAACTTAATATTCATATTGCCTAGCAATAGGCCTACTTAGTTGGTTAAAAAAAGAAAAAGGGAAAAACGAACAGATGGTCATTGACTGAAGGGTTATTTGTGAGGGACATTGTGGAAGTCATTCCTGAGCGTCTTGGAAGTTGGACTGAAAAGTCTTTAAGGCCCCTAAAACGCCAAGATTTCACCATTTTTTGTTGCTTGCTTTACAGTTTCTGGCATATTAGTGTTGAAAATGGAAAAAAGTGATGATTTTTAAAAAGCAAATGCAGTGCTTGACATTTCTATACGTTTTAACTTCTAGTTTGAGGAGGAGAATGAAGAAATTGGAGGAGGTGCAGAAGGTGGACAGGGTAAAAGAAAGAGACTTTTTTCTAAAGAATGTAAGTAGTATTTGACAATGTTTTTATAGCTAAAAGCTTTTGGACATGTCCTTTCAAAGTTCATTTCTTGTTCTAAATGTGTTTACCTTTGAGGACAGTCCTCTCAGACTTGATAAAATTCTGTTTAACTTGTGAATCGTAGATCGTAATGGTCATAACCCCTATTTATATATGCTATGTGTACACGTGCATTTGAATGTGTGTGTATGTGTATACACATTTTTCATATGACCTTTTGGCCTTCTGGATATCCTCTTTGGTGAAGTACATATCTGCTGCCTATTAATTGGTTATTTTTTATTGTTGAACTGTATGAAGCTTTTATATGTTTTGGATATTAATCCCTTGTCAGTTACATATTGTATGAATATTTTTTTTAAAGATTTATTTATGCATACAAGAACTGGGGTACAGGCCAGAGGTGTGGAGGGTGAGAGGATTCACCAGAGACAGAGTAGGGAACAGAACAGGTAGATTGACTGAAAAACACTGCTGAGGGGAGCAGCGGGTGAGACAGGAGAGGTCTGCTTCGCCATGTGGGATTCTCGTTGGCTGGCTGGGCTGGCTGGGATCGAACCCGCGCTGCAGAGGCTGAGGATAGCTTCACAGTGCGGCTCTCAACCACCTGCACCACCAGGGAGGCCCCTTGTAGTATACGTCTTTTACCTCCATTGTTAGGTTGATTCCCAGGCATTTCTTTTTTGAATCAATTATAAATAGAGTTATTTTCACCATTTCTTTTGCTTCTTGTTCATTGTATATAAGAAGCTATGTATTTTTCATACGTTGATTTTTGTGACCTGCTACTTTGCTATATTCATTTATTGTTTCTAATAACTTGTTGATGGAGTCCTTAATGTCTTCTCTATATATTATTCCATATACAAATAGTGATAGTTTCACTTCTTTTCTGCTTGGATACCCTTCATTTCCTGTTTTTCTCCAATATCTCTGGTCAAAAAATCTAATGTCAAGTTAAACAGAAGTGATAACAATGAGCATCCTTGTGCTGGATCTTATGGGTAGAGCTTTCAGTTTTTCACCATTGAATATTATGTTTGCTGTAGGTTTGTGATATATGCCCTTTATTATATTGAGGTAGGTTCTTCCTGCTCCCGTCTTGTTTAGCATTTTTATCAAAAATGGGTGTTGAATCTAGCATATGGTCTCTCTCTATCTATTGGATATTATATAATTTTTATCTTTACTTTTGTTGGCATATATTACATTAATTGACTTATTTTTTTTTTTTTTTTTTTTATAGAGGCATGTTTTTATTTATTTATTTATTATATTTGTTTGTTTTGTTTATACATGCACTGGGTACAGTCAGAAGCGCGGGAGGGTGAGAGAATTCACCAGAGCCAGAGCGGGGAGCAGAGCAGGCAGAAGGGCTGAAGTACACTGCTGAGGGGAGCAGCGGGCGGCAGGAGAGGTCTGCGCACCATGTGGGATCCTCCTCCGGTGGCCGGGGAGCAGCCGGGGATCGAACCGGCGCCGCAGAGGCCGCGGGCAGCTTCGCAATCCAGCGCTCAACCGCTGCGCCACCGGGGAGGCCCACATTAATTGACTTATGCATATAAAACCATCCTTGAGTCCCTGAGATGAATCCCAATTGATCATGGTATATAATCCTTGAGATATGCTGTCAAACTTGATTTGCTAATATTTTGATGAAAATTTTTGCATTGATGTTCATCAGGGATATTGGTCTATAATTTTTTCTTGTGCTCTCTTTAGTTCCAGTACTTAAGGTAATGTTGGCATCATAAATTGTATTAGAGGGCATTCCTTCTTATTTTAATAAATAATTTGAGCAGTGTGGGCATTAGTTCTTAAAAGTTTGACAGAATAGGGCTGGACAGGGAGATATCCACATGGCGCTGCAGGCCTCTCCTGTCTCGCCCGCTGCTCCCCTCAGCAGTGTTTTTGGTCTGTCTGCCTGTTCTCCCTGCTCTGTCTCTGGTGAATTCTCTCACCCTCCCTAGCCTCTAGCCTGTACCCCTGTTCTCGTATAAATAAATCTTTAAAAAAAAAAAAAAGTTTGACAGAATGGGGCCTTCCTGGTGGCCTATGGGTGAAGACTCAGTGCTACCACCATGAGGGCCCACTGCAATGGCCTGAGTTCTATCCCTGGCCAGCCAGGGAGCTAACCCAGTGGCACTGCAGACCTCTTCTGTTTTGCCTGCTGCTCCCCTTAGCAGTATATTTCAGTAGATCTCCCTGTTCTGACCCCACTCTGTCTCTGGTGAATCCTCTCACCCCTCTCACCTCTGGCCTACACCCCAGTTCTTCTATGCCAAAATAAATTTAAAAAAAGAAGTAAAAGTTTGACAGAATTCATTTGTAATGTTTTCTGGTCCTGGGCTTTTGTTTTTAGATTATTACTGTTTCAATTTCCATGCTTGTGATTGGTTTATTTGTTTGTTCAATTCATCCGTTTTTATCTGGGTTAGTCTCGGTAAACTGTATTGACCTAGAAATCCATCCATTCTTTCTTGTTTATTGAATTTATTAGTATATAGTTGTTTATTGTAATTGCATATGATCTTTTGTATTTCTGTGTTATCTGTAGTGATTTCTCCTCTTTAATTTGTGATTCTGTTTATTGATCTTTTCTCCTTTTTTTGTTAGCCTAGCTAGCGATTTATCTGTTTTGTCTTCACCAAGAGCCAGCTCTTAGCTTCATTTATTTTTCATGTAGTCTTTCTGATTTCTATTTCATTATTTCTGCTTATTTTTAGTAATTTACTTCCTTTCACTAACTTTGGGTCTTGTCTGTCCCTCATTTTCAAGTTGCTTTAGGTGTGATATTAGGTTATTTGGGATTTTTCTTGGTTCAGATGAACCCTGTAGTTATATTGATGTAGGTAATGAAATGTTAAGATTCTGTAGAGTAAGCACTCTGCTTTCTCTCTTCTATACCTTGTGACTGCCTATAACAGTTGGAGCACTTTCTTTCATGTCTTTTTTTTCTGTGATTGTATCAGAAAGGATTCTGCCATTCTGCCTTCTCTTTTACAATGTCCCACTGCTCCTTCCCCATAAAGACAGAAGGTTGGTTTTGGTAGATAATAGAGACCAGAGAAAGATTATTGGCAACAAGGTTTAGTAGCTGGAAGGGAAGGGGAATTTTGTTGGTTGAGATTGTCAAGGTTTAAACATTTCACACCAAATCCATAGTTGGAGACAGCTACAATATAAATATGTTTATATGTCAATATCTTCTATAATTTGATTGAATTCTACTTTTTAATAACTATTGGACAGTTTGTTTAATTTGCTCAAGTAAACAAAAGTAATTGTTCTTTCACAGTACGATGCATGATGTATGGGTTTGGGGATGACCAGAATCCTTATACTGAGTCAGTGGATATTCTTGAAGACCTTGTCATAGAGTTCATTACAGAAATGGTAAGATTCTTTTGTAATGGGTCTTGAATAAATTTGAAATTCTAACTTCTAAATGAGACTTAGAAGTATGACATTCATTTGAAATATGCTCTCTACTTAAATGACTGTTTTATAGAAGTTTCTGGTAATTATTACTAAGGATAGAAATATATGTGTATGTAAAGTGCGTGTATCTATATACACACATATGTGTATGTTTATGTGTACACACACACACACACACACACACACACCATACACATAAAGTATGTCCTGTCCCTTCCTCCTGAATTTTATTTAGGAGGATGTAATTCTAAAATCCTTGAATAAAATTTAAAATATTACCATAATCCCATCATCAGTCCCATTTATAGCATTTACAAGTGTACATACGGTGTTTTACATAGTGATGATTATAGTAAAAATTAATTTTACTCCAAATGTGTATTTGCTATGTTCTAATCACATATATTTCAGTTGCTACATAAAATTCACTCAAGTCATTTTCTAGTATACTTAATTCTCATATTATATGTTATTTACAGGTGGTTTTATTTTTAACTAAATGGATAATTTTGTATAGCCATATTTATAAAGTTTCTGTCTTGGATTTATTCAGAGATGGAATTACTGTATTTAGTTGTATCCAGTTCGTGTGAAATTTTAGCCCTGTGTTTTAGCTTATTTTTAGTACAGAATAATAAAAGTAAAATTCCAGGGTCAGAAATTATACATTTTGAAGAATCTTTTTTTCTGCTTACAAAGTAATTATTAATTTGAGAAATTATAAAAACGTAGAGGGAGAAAATAAATTGTATTCTTTCCACATAGAGACAACTAATGCTAGCATTTTGGTGAATTTTTTTTGTCTTTTTGCATATTTTTAAATTATAAAATTGAAAATCTTACATTATACAGTCTAGATTCTGCTTTTTCACTTAAATCTAGAACATTTTCCCCATGTCATTGCTTAATGCTCTGATATTTTTAATGGCTTCATAATATTCATTGAGTGAATGTGCTCAAATTTGTTTACACAGTGCCTTATTAAATGTTTCCATTACTTTAGTCATTAGAAGTAATCCTTTGATGAACCTTCATTTTTTTGCATAGAATGAATATATAACGAATGATAGTGGATCAGATTTATGTGATTTTAAGAAAATCCACTAATTTTAATCAGTTATTAAGATGTACACAATGCATAAATCGTGTTTTCAAGTAAATTATAAAATGATTTTATACAAATAAAGTTAAAACCTACTTTTAAAAAAACAAAAAAGGAACATCAATAAATTTTACAGTTTTAATATCTTTAGTATTAAAAAATGTCTATTAAAAATGTCTATAGGGCCTCCTGGGTGGCGCAGCTGTTGAGTGCTGGGTTGCGAAGCTGCCCGCAGCCTCTGCAGCACCAGTGCTATCCCTGGCTGCCAGGCGAGGGTCCCACATGGTGCGCAGACGTCTCCTGCCACCTGCTGCTCCCCTCAGCAGTGTATTTCGTCAGTCTGCCTGCTCTGCTCTCCCCTCTTGCTCTGGTGAATTCTCTTACCCTCCCGCGCTTCTGATTGTACCCAGTGCTTGTATAAATAAATAAAATCTTTAAAAAAAGAAAAATAAAAAGTCTATAAAGCATTAAGAGGAACATTGTTAATAACAGTAGAAAGTGGACAAAGGATGTGAGTAAAAAGATAATTCACAAATGCATAGCTATAGTAATTAGAAAACCTTCAAACTCACCAATATTAAATAAGTGCAGATTAAAAGAAAAAATTTTTAAAAATTAATTGAATTTAATGTTTTGTTTTGTTTTGTTTTTTTGTAATAGACTCACAAGGCAATGTCAATTGGAAGACAAGGTCGAGTACAAGTTGAAGATATCGTCTTTTTGATTCGAAAGGACCCAAGGAAGTTTGCTAGGGTTAAAGACTTGCTTACTATGAATGAAGAATTGAAACGAGCTAGGAAAGCATTTGACGAAGCAAACTATGGATCGTGATAACATTTGTACTCTGCAGTGTTGTTACCTTCTAGGGAAACCCTTAATAATAACTATATTTTCCACAATGAGGTCCTGATATCTAGCCATGGAAATGAAAGAGAAACACAAAGTTTTTAGCATTTATTTTCATATCTTTGATTTTAGAGTGATATCTGAGCCTTTACTTGCCTACCTTTAGAATACCATACTTGAATTACTGACTAGGTTTTAATGACCACACAAATTGAAGTAACTTGCAAACCGTACTGTTCTCTCTGACTTTCGGCTATCTAACACTGTAAAGTAGTATTTGTGTGCCATTTTAGGCTATACAGTAGTTCTTTAACATGTAAGGTCTAAATGGCACCTTTGACTTTATGATAGCTGAGACATGTTTTTCATATATTCTAGAGTTTTGAGACTACAGCAGTTGAGGTAATTAAAAGATAGTGAACTGGTTTGTTCCTTTTAAAGGAAGAAGATAAGAAAATAGTCTTCTGTAGGAATGTTTCTGTCACGGGATAATATTTTTAATATTCCTTTTTTCAGATGAGGGATTTTTGGAGAAACTTAAGTTTCGTGTGAAAGCTTCTGTGTTAGAGGACTTCTTTGATTTAAAATCTTTTGGGTCTATAACATAATTTGTCAAGATTTAGGATAACTCATTTTCCCAGGTCAGATTAGAGCTTCTAAAAATGAATGTTTTCAGTATCAGGAATGATAATGCTTAAAAAGCTGATGGCAGGAAAAGTATTTCAGGTAATGTTTTATTAACATTTGTTAGTACTTGTTCAGTGTGGAAATGTGTACTTAAGTAGAACTCTATGTGGCTATGGAAACCTCATTTGTAGTTCAAGATATACAGGTTTTGTGTGTGTCTTTAGCTTATTAAGTTATTATTGCACTTTGCTTAAAATGAGGATTAAAATTGCTTTTAAAGGGATTACTGAATGTTACTAGTGAAACTGAACGTTTTGTCTGCCACTTATAAATATTATAAATCAGTAACTAAGAAAATTTTACTTTCTTAACCTATTGGTACAAAGAATAAAGTATGCAAAATTAAACAGGTCAATACTTGAATTTGGTTATGTGATTTATCAACTTCCTGCCATAACTGGAAATATGATTTTAGCTGCTTAATCTCAATAAAAGCTTTTTTTCTATATTACTCTTATAATTTTTCTGAATTGATAATGAGATTCATTAAATAGCTGGCTTGATCTTTTTGTTATTTATAAAAGTTAAAAAAAAGAAAAAAAAGATTGTAGTGTAAGCTGAAATCAAGAATGGGAGTGGATTATAACAGATTGATAGATAAATCAGGGACTGCTTCACCCTAAGAAGAAACTGGTAATAACTGGCACTAGGATGACTATGTTAGTCAGCTTGGGCTGCCAAAACAAAATAGCATAGACTGGGTAGCTTCAACAGAAATCTACTTTCTTACAGTTCTGGAGGCGGGAAGTCTGAGATCAGGGTGCCAGCCTGGTTAGATTCTATTGAGAACTCTTTCTGGGTTGCAGATAGCTAGCTGCCTTGTCCCTGTACTTCACATGGCTGAGAGCGAGCTCTGTTGTCTCTTCCTTTTCTAAGGGCACTAGTTCCATCAAATCAGGGCTTCACCCTTATGTCCTCGTTTTACTTTAATTGACTCCTTGAATTCCCTGTCTGCAGTACATCAGATGTAGTATTAGGGCTCCAACATAGGTGTTTTAGGGGGACAATTCAATATATAATGCTGCCTTTGCTGTTATCATTTTGTTAATGACCCTGCCTTCTAAGAAATTTTTTTTGGTGCAACTTCGTATTATGACTTTCTTAGGTTGCAAGTAATAGAATTAAGAGCAGTATAAGCAAAAAAGAGGCATTAATTTATCTAACCTGAAACAAGGAAAGGAGGGATGGAGTTGACTCCAGGATTGACTGCATCTAAGAACTTGAGGACAATTAAGATTTCATCTTCTATCCCAATTTTGTTTTTATTCTCAGGAACCCCAGTGTATCAAGGGAACTTGATGGCCCGCATTTCTAGGTTTTCATTCCTACGGCTTGTGATCAAGGTAGCTGCTTCACTTCCTGATACAGAACATTCCAAGCAAGGATTTTCATTGTCTTGACTGTGATCATTTTTCTTCTTGGACCTGTCACTGTGGCCAGGAAGAAGTTGTGTTGCCTAGATCTCAGGGGTGGAGGGGCTTAGTGTGGGGGTGAGCAATGGGAGATAGGTATAGCAAGAAGGGGAAAGAGGCTGAGCAGACAAAAATAACAAATGTGCACTGACTTGATTTGTGAGTTTACTTTGAATTCTGTACAGCTGCACTGTGTAACATGGTATTTAAATTCAAGTAATTAAAATCAAAATTTCAATTCCCTTGGTTGGACTGCCTGTACTCCAAGTGCTTAATAGCTCCTTGGCCAGTGGCTGCTGCACTGAACAGGGCTGATACACAACATTTCCACCATCCCGGAAAGTTGGATGGTACTAATAGATAGTATTCATGAGCTCTCTCCTGAGTTATTTCACTTTTTGAAAAAACATGATATGGAAAATCTTAAAATATACACAATAAGAAAACAGTATTATGAAACCCCAACTCCAACTATTAATCAACTTTTTCTCAATAATCTATCCTCCCACCTTAATTTAAAAAGTATCCCATATAACTATCACACTAAAAAAATACACTAATGCCTCAATATTCCTCTAATATTCACCCTCTATTTGAGTCTACTGATATGTCTCAGAATATTTGAGTTTGCATATTTTTCTATTGCTGCAGTAACAAATTACTACAAATTCTGTTACCACAAACTCACTCTTACCTATTTCTAGGTCAGAAGTCTGGCTAAAATCAAAGTATCAACAGAGCTTTGTTTCTTTCTGGATGTTCTAGGAGAGAATCTGTTGACTTGCCTTTTCCAGCTTCTAGAGGCTGCATTCTTTGGCTCATGCTCCCCTCCCATCTTCAGAGCTAGTGTCACATTTCTCTGACCCTCTTTAGTCATAGCTTTTCTGACCCCAGCTGGGAAAGGTTATATCCTTAAAAGGCCCATGTAGTTATATTGAACCCACCTGGATAACCCAGGCGGCTCTCTTCATATCAAAACCCTTAACAACCAGGAAGCTCTTCTACCATATAAGGTAACATATTCACAGTTTCTGGGGATTAGGACATGGCCATCTTTAGGAGAGTGATTATTTTGTCTAGCACAATTTATTTCCCATAGAATCTAAGCAAGTGTCACCTATTATATTTAGTTGGTGTGTCCAAATTTCTTTAAATCATTAATAACTTCCCTCCTCCACTTTAAGCGAAGCTCTCTTTGAGATCATACCTTTTGTTTCTTAACTAGCATGTTTATTAGAAACTAAAAGAGCATCTAATATATATGATTCACTTGATGTTGGTTTTACTGTTTTTAAACTGGTTTTCTTAAGTAAAAACTAGCATTAATTCTAAGTGTAGAAATTTTTAAATGGGAGAAATAGTTCACTTGGCCTCTATCAGTGAAGGGAGGTGTGGTCTGGCAGAGTTATTTGGCTGCTTTTCAAGAGGCCTCAGAAGCTTGCATTACTAGGGTGAATGTACTATAATCCAGTGTTTGCTTTACAGCATTGCAGACTTGGAAACTGATTTCATCAGCAAATGGTGAGCACACCAAATTCTCAGGGTGGACTCAAAGAAACCAAACTCCTAAGATGAGTGTTTAAAAAATGGATGCCTATTTACAGATGCAGGTAAAACAGCAAATTCTTCCTTCTCTAGGCAGACAGACACAAGGGAAACTGAAACATAACAATGGGTGTGAATCAGAATGAGGGGAGTTAGATGAGTGTGTTGCCTAGAGCATCAGGTAAGATAAGGATACAGTTATTAATAGAGAACTAGGAAAAATGGCTCCCTGGGGCCTAAAGCAGTGCAGAGGGGTTTGTTGCCTGGGAGCTTCCTTCAAGATTCTCTTGTTGACACCAGAGATTTGACCGGAGTTTTTCACATCTTTGACAACCCATCCAAGCATTGTCTGGTGTCTTCAAGTGACTTTGCCTGTTTCTACTCCCACTCATTTAAATGTAGATCTCAGGTAATTCAAGGAGGACAATTTTATTTCCATATGCTTCAGGGAATCTTCATAGTTGCTCCTAAGTGCTGATAATACTGAGCTTTGTGCCTGAAAATACAGAACTTTTTAAGAGCATTGTCTGTATTCCAGAACATTCCCAGTTCTCTAGGTTTGATTATTGTAGGGTAAAGAAAATGTCAGGCTTTTCTGCCCTTCTGCCATCAGGATAGATGATGGATCCTTGTCCTGAATGCATGCCTGATGGCGGGCACCTGGAATAGGGTGTGGGCATAGGTAGATGGGATTCAGCTGAGCTAAGACTGCTTTTTAAGGGCAGCGTCACGGGGACGCCAGTAGCAGCAGCAGCAGCAGTAGCAGCACCAGCACCAGTAGCAGCAGTAGAAGCCGAAGCAGAAGCCGAAAGAGAAGCCGAGAAGCAGCAGAACGAACACCAGAGAGTCCAGATAGAGTGAAGACTTGCTGCCAGCAAGTGAAGACTTGCTGCCCCTAGCCAGCACCCCTGCCTGCCATATGCCTGGTGAACCCCAAATAAAAAACCTGCAAAACCACTGAGGACTCTGACTCCTCCTACCCGGTCTGCATGGGATCAGAAAACCTGCACAGTGCCCGGTCCTGCCCTTACAATTATCTTAGGGTCTCTATGCTTTCCTTCTTACCACAAATAGAGGCTGAGAGATTGATGGCCATCAAGGAAGGTGTTAGTTGGAGGCTGATGCTTTTCCTGGGCCCTGTTAACACGTGACTAGTCATACTTAAATTTATGGGATGGGATCAAGGAAAACATTTTGATATATTAAGTAACTATCTGAGGCATAGCACAGGCACCATTTTGGTTAAAGTTATCTGGATAAATGGAATTTAAATTTCTAGGGAGGAGCAATTTCATGTTACCAGTAGGGTGATAAGCATTTTCATTTGAACTCTTACACAAAAATCCCAATTCCTGTTATTTGTAGCACTGGGACTTCTGTGCACATGGTCACTCTATTATATACTTATTACTAGAAAGCCTGGCAAACTGCCTTGAAATCCTTGGGTATATTCTTTTAGTATAGAAAGAACAGTTGCTAAAAGACAAATCGTTTCTTGTGAGTGACCATTTTAGATAAATAGTAGTTTATTAGAAAATAGCCTACTTAAGTTATAGATCAAATGCTAACGGAAATACCAATACTATAATTTTTCTGAAATAGTAGTTTTATAAGTATTTTGGGGGAACATGAACTTACAAGAACTACTGTTAAAAATTATATAACAGCCCAAAATGGAGTGACTCTTGCTAAACCTCACTTCAGAAAACACTATTTAAGCTAAAGGCAGTTCCAGTTTCTCCTAGAAATGTAACCTTTAACCATGCAATCTGGAATCTTGGTCAGCACTAATCAGGTAATCTGCCCCCCGGGCCCCTTCTGTCCCTCACAGGAAGGTGATCTTGCCTGAAACAAACCTCTCTTCCTGTTATCCTGTGCCTCCTTTCCGTAAAAACCTTCCATTTTGTAAAGCTCTTTGGTTCCTTTCTGTTTTTCTAGATGGGATACTGCCTGATTCATGGATTGTTTAATAAGTGAATTGTGATATTGACTCAGATGAATTTTGTTTTTTTTACCACTATATACACTAATTTTGAATTTCTAGGCAAGATCTATGAAATAATTTGAAATTTACAACTAGAAATTTACCTTAACCTAGAACAGCCAGCTGAAATTATGATACTTAATGTGTTTTATGTATTAACATTAACTAATATAATAACCTTTTTTATTTTTATGTCAATGACTTAATTAAAATTTAATTTTTCTAAAACAAAATATTTTTGTTTTCAACATAATACCCAGATATTTACTTACAATAAAATAAATAAAACATTAAAGCACTTCTCTTTATGTTGAAACAACAAGGATTTTTCTTTACCTGGTTTAAACATCAGCACATAATTTAAACTTTTGTTTAGAGCGCTAGATAGGAGCCCTGGTATTCTACCTACATCATCCTCTGACCTGTTTGAAGCAACAGCAGCAGTAATTACAATACTTTGTATAAATTCTAGTGAGAGTGGAAACTTTAAAATGCGTTTCCTTATCCCCACTTAATTCCCCTGAACTTGA